GTTCAGGAAAAGCCTTTTGCTGATAACAAGGTTCCAGAAATTTCAATGTCATCGTTTAAATAAGCTTGTGCTATTGTAGAATCTGGTTCTTCGCATAGATGGGGTCAAGTTCTCAGTGTTCCTAACAAGCAAGACAGGTTTGGCATGGGGTATAACCCATCTTCTTCTCAGAATGCTCCAAGGTACAAAGGACCCGTTTCAGTTCACCAGTGGTGGAGTTGTTTTTGATAGGATTAATGATGTGGGAGATGATGAAGGAGATAGCAACTGTGACATGGATGCTTGGATTCGTCCATGTATTCTTGGACAGAAGCTATGCAACTGAACTATGGAGGAAATTGTTCAAGTCACTTCTGAAGAGTAACTTCTTTGTTTTTGATTATGTGTGGTCCTACGTTCTGCCCAAGACGTAGTGGCTTTCCTTTGTAGGGCCGCTTTAGTTTATGTTCAACTTTTTATCATTAATAAAAGGCATTCTTTTTTGCATACAAATGTTTTGATCCTTGCTTTTCTTCTTTTATTTCCAACATTAAAATGGCAATGTCTTTGTGTTTGTTTGCATATCATATTAAGAATAAAACATCAATCATGCAGGTTTCACATCTCAGATACCATCGATTCAAATTCGGCTATGACTCAATATGATTTTGACAATCCTATTTTCCAAGTTGAAGAAGAGACTGATGAAGATTGTGACATACCTGAAGAGTTGGCCAGACTGTTGAGACAAGAGGAAAAAGTCATTCTGCCTCATCAAGAGGATGTTGAAGTTGTCAATTTGGGCACTGAAGAGGATAAGAAGGAAGTCAGGGTCGGGGCTGCATTGAAAGACGACGTCAAAAGAAGATTGGTTGAAATGCTTCGCGAGTATAGAGATGTCTTTGGTTGGTGGTATAAAGATATGCCAGGGTTAGATACTGACATAGTGATACACCGTCTACCTCTTCGGGAATAATGTCCGCTTGTAAAGAAAAAGTTGAGAAGAACCAGACCTGACATGGCAGTCAAGATTAAGGAAGAGGTCCAGAAGCAGTTGGATGTCGGTTTTCTCACTGTTACAAATTATCCTCCATGGGTCGCTAATATTGTTCTTGTGCCTAAGAAAGATGGAAAGGTCAGGATGTGTATCGACTATCGAGATCTGAATAGAGTGAGCCCAAAGGATGATTTCCCGCTCTCCCACATTAATGTTCTAGTTGATAATACTGCTCAATATTATGTGTTTTCCTTCATGGATGGTTTCTCTGGGTACAACTAAATCAAAATGGCCCCAGAGGACATGGAGAAAAATACTTTTATTACGCCTTGGGAGACCTTTTGCTACAAAGTTATGCCTTTTGGATTGAAAAATGTAGGGGCAACCTATCGGCGGGCGATGGTGACTCTATTTCATGATATGATTCATCATGAGATCGAGGTGTATGTTGATGACATGATTGCAAAGTCGTAGACAGAGGAAGGTCATTTGGTTAATCTGTTGAAGTTATTTGAAAGGTTAAGGAAATTCAGATTGAGGTTGAATCCAAATAAGTGCACTTTCGAAGTGAGATCAGGAAAGTTGTTGGGGTTCATTGTCAGCGAAAGAGGAATCGAGGTAGATCCTGCAAAAATAAAAGCAATACAAAAGATGTCTGAGCCAAAAACAGAAAAAAAAAGTTAGTGATTTTCTGGGGAGGTTGAACTACATTGCAAGGTTCATATCTCACCTTACAACCACTTGTGAGCCAATATTCAAATTGTTAAAGAAAGATCAAGCAGACGTTTGGAACGAAAATTGTCAAAGGGCATTTGAAAAAATAAAAGAATATTTGAAGGAACCTCCGATACTGATACCTCCAATTGCAGGAAGGCCTTTGATTATGTACTTGACGGTTCTTGAGAATTCAATGGGTTGTATACTCGGTCAACACGACGAGACGGGCAGAAAAGAGCACGCTATCTATTACTTGAGTAAGAAGTTCATGAAATGTGAGTCCAAATACTCGATGCTAGAAAAGACATGTTGTGCACTCGCTTGGGTAACCAAATGCCTAAGACAATACATGTTAAATCATACAAACATATTGATTTCGAAGATGGATCTGATCAAGTATGTGTTTGAAAAGCAGGCGCTTTCAGGGAAAATTGCCAGATGGCAGATGGTTCTGATAGAAGGGAGTGTTTTGTCAGAATATCTTGTTGAACATCCAATTGAAGATTATCAACCAATGAGGTTTGAGTTTCCTGATGAAGATATAATGTTTTTGAAGACGAAGGACTACGATGAACCTTTACCTGACGAAGGTCCCGAGATAGGCTCTCAGTGGAAGATGATTTTCGACGGTGCTGCTAATTCATATGGTAACGAAATTGGGGTAATCATTACAACTCCTCACGGTTCTCACATACCGTTCACCTCCCGATTAATGTTTGCCTTCACCAATAATGAAGTTGAATATGAAGCGTGCATCATGGGTATAGAAGAAGCTATTGATTTGAGAATCAAGAATCTTGATGTATATGGTGATTCAGCTTTAGTCGTCAATCAGATTAAAGGAGAGTGGGAAACCCGTCAACCCAACCTGGTGCCTTATGTGAATTATGCAAGAAGACTGCTGCCTTTCTTTGACAAATTGGAGTTTCATCATGTGTCGAGGGCTGAGAATCAGATGGCAGACGCTTTGACAACGTTATCATTAATGTATAAAGTAAATTACTTGAATGAAGCTCTAATGATCACTATCATGCGCCTCGATAGGCCAACTTTCATATTTGCAGTAGAAGAAGCATCAGATGGGAAACCTTGCTATTTTGATATCAAAAATTTCCTCAAGAATCAAGAGTATCTGCCTGGGGCATCGAATAGAGATAAAAAGACTTTGTGGAGGCTGTCCGGAAACTTTTACGTGAACAAGGATGATGTGTTGTACAAGAGAAATTTTGATATGGTATTGCTACGTTGTGTGGATGAAAATGAAGCAAGTCTGATAATGGAAGAGGTCCACGAAGGTTCCTTCGGTACACATGTTAATGGACATGCGATGTCCATAAAATTGTTGAGAGCAAGTTATTACTGTATGACTATGGAGTCCGACTGTTTTAAGTATGCCAGAAAGTGTCATAAATGTCAAATTTATGCTGACAAAATGCATGTGCCGCCAAGTCCTCCGAATGTTTTGACATCTCCTTGGCCCTTTGCAATGTGAGGCATCGACATGATTGACAAGATTGAACCGACTGCCTCCAATGGGCACCACTTTATCTTGGTGGCAATCGATTATTTCACCAAGTGGGTTGAAGCAGCTTCCTTTGCCAATGTGACTAGACAGGTAGTTGCCCGGTTTATCAAGAAGGACATTATCTGCCGTTATGGAGTGCCAGAGCGGATCATTACTGACAATGGTTCGAATTTGAACAATAAGATGATGAAAGAATTGTGCCAGAGTTTTAAGATTGAACACCACAACTCTTCTCCATACTGTCCGAAGATGAATGGTGTTGTTGAGGCAACCAATAAGAATATCAAGAAGATTGTGCAGAAAATGGTGGTGACTTATAAAGATTGGCACGAGATGTTGCCCTTTGCTTTACATGACTATCGTACTTTGGTGCGTACGTCGACTGGGGCAACTCCTTTCTCATTGGTGTATGGTAAGCCCAAATGGATATAACGATATCCTTCTTTATGAAGATTTTCTACCAATTTTCTGTCAAGTAAGTTAATAGTTTCATGTTTATTACATATAAATTTAGTAGATTCAACTGTATGAATAATTTTCTTATTATGATAATCAAACGTGCTAATTTTATATATCTCCTTTAGCTTAATCTTTGGCATAGACCGGTTAACTAACCTATTTTCTAATTTTTGGATTTCTAACTCATGATTCTGAAATGTATTTTGATCTAAATCAATTTTATCACTATTAGAAGTAATGAGAATCAAATATTTGCTTATAATACTACGAGAACTACTCCCTATCTCACTAAAAGCTTTGGTATCATAGTCTGACTTCGTTGAGCTAGTTATTTCTCTACAATATTATTTTCTAAAACAGATTTGCATTATTTCAAGGTTTTATTTATCACTTCTTTGATAACCATAACTCTTGTTTTCTCAATCGGTATCTACTGAAAGTGTGTGGTCTAGGTAGTAAGACCCATTAAATAAGGTCGTGAATCCGTTAATTTAGCACACTTTAGCGACTTCTTAGAAAACAAATTATAAAAGGGAGTGAGGATTTATAATCTATCACTTTCAGAACTTGTTTTGTAAAGTAGTTATTTTATATATAATAAAATGACACATTTAAAATAAAATAAGCGTTTTATTCTACTTTCTTCTGTTCCATTCCGCTCTACTCGTAGTCTTTTTTTATTCTACAAAAATTCATAATAGTCTATTTAAGCAAATTACTATATTAATATTTGTTGTATTTTTTTGCAATTTTAAAATACTTCATTAAAAGTCTTTTTATATTCTACAAAAATTCATAATAAGTCTATTTACGCAAATTACTATATTAATATTTGTAGTATTTTTCGCAATTTTAAAATACTTGATTAATATATTATTTTGAACTCATATACTTTCGATCATGAGTCATGACACTATTACGCACTTACATATAATTTCCATTCTATTCTGTCTCTTTTTTATTCTTTTTTCTTTCTCTATACACATATAGCACCATAGCCATAACCAGATCTAATCTGAATAGAGAGTAGTGAATATTCTCGCTCTCATTTTCTCTATTCTCTCTACTCATTTATGCATATATCACCGCACCTCTGTCGGTGAACCTGATCGCGTATCTTCTCAATTTCATTATCATAATCAGATCTGAGGTGATTTCTCTCGATTCCTAATCCCTCATCTTGTTCCCGTTCGATTCGATTCAATTTTTCTGTCTTGATGTCCAACAATGTTGATTCAATGATTATGATTTTGTGTTTGATTCAATTTCGAGCTTATTGTTAAGCCATTGTGATGAATTTTGATTGGATCGTGCAGAGGGAAGATGTTAACGAAGTTCGAGACGAAAAGTAACAGAGTGAAGGGATTGAGTTTCCATAGCAAAAGGCCATGGATACTTGCGAGTCTTCACAGTGGCGTGATCCAGCTATGGGACTATCGAATGGGGACGTTAATTGACAGATTCGATGAGCATGATGGACCTGTTAGAGGCGTTCATTTTCACAATTCGCAGCCCCTTTTTGTATCTGGAGGTACTTTTTTCATTATAACCTTTGTTGCTTCTTTCAAATTTACTCTGATCTGTTACTTTGCGTCGTTTGTTGTTCTTTTTATTTGTTTTTCTGCATATATGTATCTAAATGCTGGCACTCGTTATTAGTGTATACCACTTTTACATCTACACTCATGGAAAATTTTGAGTTACCTTGGATGTGTATTTGTATCATTAAAGCTCTAATGGGATCCACTTAGATGGGTGTTCAGAAATGGACTCGATGTTTAGATCTTGCATACTGAAGTGATGAAATGTTTATATTGTAGTAGTAGAGGAATTGTGTGTGTGTGGTGTCTGGTATTGGCTTCTTTCGTTATAAAATGATTTGATGCATTTTTTAATATAAGGATTTAATGCTTATCTTATATTTGTTGATTCTTTTATCTCTTCATCTTTGATCTTTTTTTGTTTGAGGGTGTGAAAGGAGACTATGTGTGATGTGTAAGAAACTAAGAATGGGTTATGGTTTATAGACTTGTTTGCATGTACGTTATTTTATTTGAATGGAGTATAAAATCTGTGTGGTATGGTTTAATTTAAATGTTTTGGATCTGGAAGTTAGTAACTAATATCAACACGGTCTTTTAACAAATCAGTGGTTCTGGTGCATGAAATCTTGCTCTAATGGTTGTGTTTTTCCATGATTTAAACCTGTCTTTTGGGGTGGAGATATTGGTGTGTAGCATACATTGATAATATATATTATTATATCAACATGATATTTTAATAAGTGGTTCTGGTGCATGAAATCTTGCTCTAATGGTTGTGTTATTCCATATTTTTAACCTGTCTTTTGGGGTGGAGATCTTGGTGTGTCACATACATTCATAATATATATTATTGTTGCGAATTGGATGTGGAGGATTTTACTGTATACATCTTCATGCTTATTGGTTTTTTTTAATATTTTTTATTGGGACAGGGGATGATTACAAGATTAAAGTCTGGAACTATAAGATGCATAGGTGTTTGTTCACTCTTCTAGGACACCTTGATTATATCCGGACAGTTCAATTTCATCATGAGAACCCATGGATTGTGAGTGCCAGTGATGATCAAACCATTCGCATCTGGAACTGGCAGTCACGGACCTGTATATCTGTTTTAACTGGACACAACCATTATGTTATGTGTGCTTCATTCCATCCAAAAGAGGATATTGTTGTGTCAGCCTCCCTGGATCAGACTGTTCGTGTTTGGGATATTGGTTCTCTCAAAAGGAAGGCCGGACCTCCTTCAGATGATATTTTGCGATTGAGTCAGATGAACACAGATCTTTTCGGTGGTGTCGATGCAGTTGTTAAGTATGTGTTGGAAGGTCATGACCGAGGTGTCAACTGGGCTGCTTTTCATCCTACACTGCCTCTTATTGTCTCAGGAGCTGATGACCGTCAAGTGAAACTTTGGAGGATGAATGGTAATATGAAAACCTTGTTATTTACTTTACGTTGCCTGAATCGTAACTATCTGAAAATATACATAGTTTCGATTTTGTCTATTAAACTTCAACTTACCGGGCTTCCATACATCATCTTAATGCTATGCAAGTGATTACAATTTTTCATAAAACAGTGTTTAGAGGAGCTTGTGTATTTTTGGAAGAAAAATGTTTCATGCAAGACATTTCTTGCACATATTAACTTTATTGCTATGTAGTTAACGAGAAAGAAAAACAATTAGCATTTAGAGTCTATGTTGTTAATAGCGCACTATAGCGGAATATCGTGGCGGTGGTAGGGTCAACGCATCACTATTGGTCTACGAGCTGCTGTCAACAATAGTGGTTGTAGCGGCCGCTAATTGTGGCCTCAAACATCTATTGCAGCCGCTATTGCGGTGAGTATTAGAATTTTGGGGATAAATTCTTCAAACTCTTTTTTTTAAACAGTTGTTTTTTTTAAGGGTATATTTCAATCTGAACCCTTTGAAGAGTAATGTTATGTTCTTTTTTAAGGGTATATTTCAATCTGAACCCTTTGTATACATCTTCATGTTATCTTCTCTGCCTAAATTTTATTACTCTATAATTTAAGTTCTTTAACTATTAAGTGTGATGATCTCTTTAATGGTGTATTAATCTATTTTTGAGTATTTATGTTTACTTTGTAAACTAGTTTTTAGTCTTTGCAATAGCGGCTATTCCGCTATCCACTATAGCGCTATAACATTTTAGGGGGTCGGTGCCACACAATGCATCCGAGATTAACAATTTAGAATGACCTTCTCTATTCCCTAATAAAATTTATTTTCTGTTTTCAGACACTAAGGCATGGGAAGTGGATACTCTGAGAGGGCACATGAATAATGTTTCATGTGTTATGTTCCATGCCAAACAGGACATCATTGTGTCGAATTCTGAGGATAAAAGTATTCGAGTATGGGATGCAACAAAGAGGACTGGTATTCAAACTTTCCGCAGGGAACATGATCGATTTTGGATTCTTTCAACGCATCCTGAAATGAATCTGTTGGCAGCTGGTCATGACAGTGGCATGATAGTCTTCAAGCTGGAGAGAGAAAGGCCCGCCTTCGCTGTTAGCGGTGATTCTTTATTCTACACGAAAGACCGCTTTTTGCGGTTTTATGAATTTTCAACTCAGAGAGAGACACAAGTACTTACTATTCGACGACCTGGTTCTTTAAGCTTGAATCAAAGTCCTAAGACTCTTTCCTACAGTCCTACTGAAAACGCAATTCTTCTCTGTTCAGACGTGGATGGTGGATCTTATGAGTTGTACTGCATTTCCAAAGATAGCACAATTAAAGACAGTTTTGGTAGGGGTGATATGCAAGAACCAAAGAAAGGTCCTGGAGGATCAGCAGTCTTTGTGGCTCGGAATAGGTTTGCCGTGCTTGAAAAAAGCAGCAACCAAGTCCTTTTAAAAAACCTTAAGAATGAGCTTGTCAAAAAGAGTGTGCTTCCGATTGCCACCGATGCTATATTCTATGCCGGAACAGGCAACTTGCTCTGTAGGTCTGAGGATAGGGTTTTTATCTTTGATCTTCAGCAGAGGATCGTTCTTGGCGATCTTCAGACCCCTTTCATCAAGTATGTAGTCTGGTCTAATGACATGGAAAGCATTGCTTTACTCAGCAAACATGCAATTGTCATTGCTAGCAAGAAGCTGGTGCATCAATGCACCCTCCATGAGACAATCCGTGTAAAAAGCGGAGCCTGGGATGACAATGGTATTTTTATTTACACAACATTAAATCATATCAAATACTGCCTCCCAAATGGAGACAGTGGGATAATCAAAACACTGGACGTCCCAATTTATATCACAAAGGTTGTTGGAAATGTCATCTTCTGCTTGGGTCGGGATGGGAAAAACAAAGCTATAACCATTGATGCTACAGAGTACATCTTTAAGCTTTCCTTGTTGAAGAAAAAATATGACCATGTTATGAACATGATAAAAAACTCACAGCTTTGTGGGCAAGCTATGATTGCTTATCTACAACAGAAAGGATTTCCTGAGGTTGCCCTCCATTTTGTGAAAGATGAGAGAATTCGGTTCAATTTGGCTTTAGAGAGTGGGAACATTCAAATTGCAGTTGCATCAGCTACAGCAATCGATGAGAAAGATCACTGGTACCGATTGGGAGTTGAAGCTCTTCGACAAGGCAATGCTGGTATAGTAGAGTATGCATATCAGAGGACCAAGAATTTTGAGAGATTATCTTTCCTTTATCTCATCACTGGTAATGTGGAGAAACTTTCAAAGATGTTGAAAATTGCTGAAGTCAAGAATGATGTCATGGGCCAGTTTCACAATGCCTTATATATGGGTGATATTCGAGAGCGTGTTAAGATCTTGGAGAATGTGGGACATTTACCTCTTGCTTATATCACTGCATCAACCCATGGGCTACATGACGTTGCTGAAAGGCTTGCAGCTGAACTGGGGGATAATGTTCCATCTTTGCCCGAGGGGAAAGTACCATCTCTCTTGATACCTCCGTCACCTGTGCTGTGTTGTGGCGATTGGCCCCTTCTTAGGGTCATGCGAGGCATATTTGATGGTGGGCTTAGAAACGCTGATCAAGATGCCGACGATGAAGAGTATGAGGCTGCTGAAGGTGATTGGGTTGAGGAGCTCGACATGGTTGACATTGAAGGCTTACAAAATGGTGATGTTGCTGGAATTTTGGATGACGGAGAGGTGGCTGAAGAGGGCGATGAAGAGGGTGGGTGGGAGCTGGATGATTTAGAGCTCCCCCCTGAAGCTGAGACTCCAAAAGCTTCTGTCAGTGCACGGTCATCAGTTTTTGTGGCGCCAACACCTGGGATGGCAGTTAGCCAGATATGGGTTCAGAGATCATCTCTTGCTGCTGATCATGCAGCTGCTGGCAACTTTGATACTGCAATGAGATTACTAAACAGGCAGCTTGGAATAAAAAACTTTGCCCCCTTGAGATCTATGTTCCTAGATCTTCATTCTGCTAGTCACTCTTATCTGCGTGCCTTTTCATCTGCTCCAGTTGTACCACTTGCTGTTGAAAGGGGTTGGACTGAGGCGTCTAGTCCAAATGTGAGAGGCCCACCTGCACTTCCTTACAAATTATCCCAATTAGACGAAAAGCTCAAAGCTGGTTATAAGTCAACAACTGCTGGGAAATTCACTGAAGCTCTCCGTACATTTGTCAATATTCTTCATACAATTCCTTTGATTGTCGTAGAGTCAAGGAGGGAAGTGGATGATGTAAAGGAATTGATAATCATAGTCAAAGAGTATGTTTTGGCTCTGCAGATGGAGCTGAAAAGAAGGGATATGAAGGACAATCCAGTACGCCAGCAGGAGCTCGCAGCATATTTCACCCACTGCAATCTTCAGACACCTCACTTGAGGCTAGCTTTGTTGAATGCAATGACTGTCTGCTACAAAGCAAAGAACCTTGCCACTGCTGCTAACTTTGCCAGGAGACTACTTGAAACCAATCCTAGTATTGAAAACCAAGCTAAGACAGCAAGGCAAGTGCTAGCAGCTGCAGAAAGGAACATGACTGATGCCACAGAGTTGAACTATGACTTCCGAAACCCATTTGTAACTTGTGGGGCAACCTATGTGCCAATTTATCGCGGACAGAAGGATGTCTCTTGCCCATACTGTACTTCCCGTTTTGTACCAACCCAGGAGGGGCAGCTATGCACTGTGTGTGAACTTTCAGTAGTTGGGGCAGATGCTTCTGGACTGCTCTGTTCTCCTGCCCAGATTCGTTGATTTAGCTTTTGGATGAGGAGCAATTAATGGAAATTTTTGTTTCAGGTCATCTTTCAACACATGATTAAAGTCGTATTGATCAATTCATATATTTTCTGTAGAATCTAGAAATAGTCGAGAGTTACTGTTCTTGCGTGAATTTCTTTGTTTTTCTTTATATATTTTTTACATGGTCTACTTTCAAATACTTTTTGCCCCTCCTCTAAGTATAAGAGGAAGGGGGAAGAAGGTTATGAATATTTCGTGCAAGTGAAGTTTTCACCCATTATGTTGAATTATTATTATTTTTAGTTTGAGTTTTTAATCGCTACATTGTGAAGCTTTAATGAAGCATTTATACCGAAAATGTGCTGGGCCCTCTGTGCTTTATAGATCATTTTCCTATCATTAGTATTTCATAATTGCGCTTTGCACATGTATGAGGTTTGTACCGGACGATATAGTGCATCTTAAGGTTATTTGCTCATTTCGATAAAGTTAATGAATATGTGTTTGATTGGGTCATAAGATTTGATAACAAATAAATTGTTTTTATTAGTTAAATAAGTGGAAATATTTATAAGGGTTGATCTAAATGGTCTATCTATGCATGTTGTTTTATTTGTAAAGATGATGAACCTCGAGTGTGATACAAACACGAGTAGCCCTTATTCACTGTTAGATGCAAAAACTGACTTTCAGATTGAATTCAAATAGGACAACAAATATATAGGAACAAAACAACAAAACAGGTGAACTACTTCCCACGGCACCTACAACCAGGTGACAACCCACGTTCATGTGACAAAATGGGTCTAGTCCGATAATTGGTCCACAATTAAGATGGTAAAGTGGGTCAGGTGTGCCGTACATCATTTCCCCCCACTTCATATTATGCATGTTGTTTTATTGGTAGAGATTCTGAAATTTGAGGGTGATACATGAGAGTAGTCTTTTTTTTCACTGTTAGATGCGAAAATTGACTTTCATGTTAAATTCAAAGAGTATAATAAATAAAGATTTCGCATCCTATATGTTTCTAGCACACTGTGGATTTTTATTTATGTCTATCAGTTTTTGAGATATATTTTCAGACGTATCTTATACATATGTCACCATGACCTTTCTAAGATATGTTCCATACAGTTGGTTTAGTTTTATTTCGAAGATATATCTTCGAAACACTTTTAGGATAACATTTAAATTGTTTAGTTCAGTGGATATTCTAGAGACGCGTCTTCGAAATTGTGAGCGACAATTTGAATGTTTCTGTCACCTTGGATATTTTCAGAGATGCATATTCGAAAATATATGATATAGCTTACAACTGTATGACCAGTCCCCCATTGTTGCCATATTTCATTTTCAACATAAACCCTCACCCTAAAAACCCTTCATTCTCAATCGATTTTTTCACTTCAAATCTCCATCCTTTTGGTTCAACATATTAGAGGGAGTAAAAGAAGATAAAATTCTAGGTAAAGATTGTTGTTTTTCCTCTGCATTGTTCACATTAATCATAGATTTTCTATGGAAAAAATTTACGTTGTGTCCGGAAATATATCCCTGAAACGTGTATGAACTTGTCCGGAGATGTATTTTCGAAATATATTTGTGTTTAATTTCCAGCCTTCTGCAACAATAAATTAATTATGTTTTTTTATTGTTTTAATTATTTTCAATAGATATGGTGCACCTCGACGTTTTTTTAAAACAAATAGTTTTTTCGAACGATATTTCTCTGAATGTTACAGGGGTTGTTGTGAACGCGGTAGATGTTGGCAACGACTTTAATAACATGCATGAGTTTGAAAATCGTGATAAGATGCTTGAATGAACTTGCATGGAGACATCTCGATTTGGATTTGGTATTGTAATAAGAAGGTTCGATAATGACTCTGATAAAAGATGCGCATTTGTAACAATGTTGTGTGAAAGAAGCGGGAGATATCGAACTCCTCTCCGGAATCTTAAAAGGGACGACACAGGTAATAGAAAATGTGAGTGTCCGTTTAAGGTTTGTGGTTACATGTTGGAAAACAAAAATTGGAGATTTAATGTGATATGTGGTTTGCAAAATCATGATTTGTGTTTAAAATTAGTCGACCATCCTAGTGTATGTTGGCTCAAGCCGGAAGAGAAGGAACGTATTAGTGACATGACCTTGAATCTTGTTCAACCGAAAAATATACTTGCAACATTAAAACAAAAGCAATTTGACAATATAGCAAATATCAAGCAAGTGTATAACATTTGGTACCTCACTAACCAGGCTATTATGGGGGATAGAACTGAGATGCAACAACTCTTGAAACTGTTGGACGGTAACAGTAGAGCATGTGTAACACCCTTCTAACCCCACGGAAAAATACATAATTAATCATAGTAAATTAACATGCTTTCACAAAAGGGCGTCACACATGATTTACAAACCGCAACATTCACCTGTCATACTCATGTAACATTGAAATAAATAGTCATGCTATTAAATTTTCACTTTGCATGCAGCAACGAATTCAATTTATTTACATAATTCTCTTCACGGAACATTCATGTTCATCACATAATCATCAACACTTAGGCACAGAGGTCATCATCATAATATTTCAAAAATACAATTAAAACATAACTTAGAATACATAATATATCTCTAAGGTATAAACCCACTGATCCCAGTGTTACATAACCAGAGCATGACTCGACCCAACATAATTAAAATACTAAACAACTGCACCAGCAGAGACCTCGCAACTACTAGCAGTACAACTCCAAGATACCTGCACAATGTCATATAGGACATCATTCCAGCAGAAGGGTAAGAAATATTACCATAATAATCAAAGCACATAATCATATATAAATGCACAAATACAAAATACATATATTTCACATTTTCTCACCACAATGCATATTAACACAATAATAATGCATATAATAGATTTCCATAGCATCAAATATACATATTATACTTCTCACCACAATACCTCACAATCCACTAACATACATCACAATGTATATATGTATAAAACCAAGCATTTCATCATGCATACATTCACATTTGTAATCAATCCACATAAACATATACATTATGTTTAATTCTCTACAATTCGTATAAACATATTCAATCATGTTTAATCATCAATTCATTAGTCAATATCTTTCATAATTACTCATTCGCAACCCACAATTCAACAATTTATACACACATGCATATTTCATATAACACTCGTAACCATGCCATGTGACTCATATAAAACTCATTCAATGTCATCAATCCCCTTTCAGGATTATGGGTACGTCACTTATACCCTACCAGGAACAACATCTCAGTTATTTTACCCCGGTAATTATCCCACTAGGAATGACATCTTAGTCATTCTACCCCAGTGTATACGACCACGACACTATACCTCATTGGGAATAACATCTTGTTATTCTATCCCAGCGATTACTCCACTGGGAACGACACATTGTCATTCTACCCCAGTGAGTACGAATCGTTCACATATACATTATTATCTACATCATTCTCACATTTACCAATCAGTGCATATATATTTACTATTATATTATATTCGCAAGCATTATTCACATCATGTACATCACAGTGCATATCTATGCACGCAACTAAGCATATTCATCAATCATGCTTCTACAATTCACATCATTTTCACATAAACATTTACAATTATGTTTATTCACAAATCTCAATTATACAGATGATAAATGCAACTCATAGAGACTGACTCACGACTCTATGCAGATGCAAATGCGGTACCGACTCAATCAGCAGGTCCAATTGAAGAACCAAATGGAACCATCGCTCGTTACCGAAGTAACTCCCTGTCGGGCCTACGATGTTCACCCATCGCTCACACCCCACATGGGCACACGATGTTTCAGGATTGCTCACACCCCACACGGGCACACAATCCGATTGCTCACACCCCACATGGGCACACAATCGTTCTGCATATTCTACGTGGAATCAATTATAAACCATCGCTCACACCCCACATGGGCCACGAGGTTTCTGCAGATCCTACGCGAGATCAATCAACACAAGAATGCATATCATGATGCTTCACATGCAAAATGACTCAATCAATTATAAACCATCGCTCACACCCCACATGGGCACACGAGGTTTCTGTAGATCCTACGCGAGATCAATCAACACAAGAATGCATATCATGATGCTTCACATGCAAAATGACTCATGACATTCTTGAAATGCATACATATTCGCAAATATATTTTTCATGCATTCTTCACATTCATCACATACAATAATCATACATTCACAATGTATATTGTATTCATCATTCATCATAATTACCATGCATTTTTATTCAATTCTAAACAATGCACATAATTTGCCCAAAGGCCACAATTCACAATCGATCCATACACTAGGATTCACGCCTTACGGCTACCCACAACACGACAATTAATAACACACAAGTTATTCATACGAGACGAGATCGATCGCAACCGGACGCTCTAGCTAATTAAGCTTTTCTCACTCAAAATTGTTAATTCCGATTAATCGGTAAAATCGGTTAAAAGTCGGCTAAAAATAATATTTCTTTTCACCAAGTTATAGAACATATTATTAGCTTCAGTTTGATATAAAGAACGTCAAAATCCGATAAACGGTGAAAAAGTTATAAATTTTCGAAGTTTTGAAAAAAATAATATTTTCTCACACTTACAATGTTAATCGGTTAACGCATATGGTTAACCGATTAACCACTCTAAAAACTCAGTTTTTAGGCCAAAAACTCAGTTTTTATCCCCCCAGCACTGTGTTAATCGGTTAACGTATATGGTTAACCGATTAACACCTGAAAAGCTTGGAAAAACAGCTACGGGTTTGGGCTTAAAATCCCCAAAAACCCGACCGATTAAATGGTTTTCACCCGATTAAATCCCTATCCATCCTTACTAATCATGTCGCACCCTAATTTTTGACCATAAGATTCCACCTCTTTGTGCGTCTTTCGTGCATGTCATCTTTT